ACTGAATCTTCTTGCGTACGACGCCCGACTTGACTGCGATGACACACACTCTGTAACGACAAGCGCCCGTCCGAGGACCAGTCTCTCGCTTAAGATAGTCCCGCAGTTAAACTTAGTTTTCCGAAGCACTTTCTCTCTCGGCGAACGACACTCCGACGTGTGACACGCGCCCGTCCACGCCGGCGAGTTCGAACTTTGACACTTTCACTTGGCTCGCCTTTTCACATGTAAGTGTAGGTCATCAATGCTAATATTCGCGAGTGGTTCAGTTAGTGGCATAGTCATTTTGTACTCCAATATTTTGTCTTTCTACGAGACCTGTTAAGGTTTGATTCTCTCCTGGGGGAAATAAGACTCAAAACCCACTTCAAACATTCCAGATACAAATATACGCAAGAAAGATTTCTATGAGACAACAATCAAAAAGATTTCTATGAGACAACTATCAAAAAGATTTCTATGAGACAACAATCAAAAAGATTTCTATGAGACAACTATCAAAAAGATTTCTATGAGACAACAATCAAAAAGATTTCTATGAGACAACAATCAAAAAGCTAAAGTAGTTCTTTTGTTCTCCCCTGGGTTCTTCACTACTCTGTTTCCGTTTGACTTCCTTTGTTCTTTCACCATACTTGTATAAACAAAAGATTGCTGTCCAGATAAACACCGTTTGTAGTATGTACCTCCACTTTTTTCGGCAAAATTTCCGATACCTAACTTTAAAATAAATTTTTAAAAATGAAAAAACATGCTGAAGATTTTATTTTAGCTTTAATTGAAAGTTTAATCATTAAATTTATTATTTCCATTAAGGAAACAATTCTGATGTATTTCAGATAGAAACTATATACATTGGAATGTCAAATTTAATTTTGGAATTTTAAATTTTCTTAATTCCAGACATTTTCTTAATTTTAAGAAATTTGTAAACAAACACAAATTTATCGATTTTAAAAATATTTAAAAAAGTTTCTGACACGTTATTTTAGTAAAATTAGAAAATTTAATGTTAAATTAATCTGATTTAAAAGAATTATTACTTACTTCTAGCATAAAAAAGTAATATACAACCAATTATTAACGATTGGTACTGTTATTTTTATCCAATATTTCATCTACGTGTTGAGTGACGAGTGATGGCAGTTACTACGGATGACCATAAAAAATGAAAATTATTAGAAATCTGAGTGAACGCTTTTTTTTTTTAGTTTTACTGAAAGGGACAAAACTCTTTTTATAATAATGGCAATTTCAGTCTACTGTACATGGAAATAAGGAACGTATTAAGTAAAAAAAATACAACAAAAAAAATTATTTGAAAAAAAAAAATTAGCACAACTAAGTTTATTAAACTTTGCAATTTTGAACTCGTAAATTTTGTTTCTACTTAATTACTAATTACTACAAGGAAATAGCCTAATACAGAATTTTGCACGATTTTTAAACTATTACAAATTATTATAATTAAAATTTAAAACAAATGAAAAAATTCTTGTAAAATTTAATTATTCATCAGATAAAAATTTATTTCTTCAGGCAATAATGACCTTAATATTACTTATTTACAAAAGCAATTAAAAGCTTTTCTAATTAAGTAGTATCATAGATTTATTGGATTCATTATTTTTCAATTCAGAGCAGATTTTTAGTTAGTTAGCGTAAATTTGAAAAAAAAAGTAGGTGATTTACCATCTCTAATGACTCTTACTTTAAACAAAAAAAAAATTTCAGGAAATAAAAAGGTTTTGAATGAAATTTCAAGACAATAAGTAAGTGGGGTGTAACATATTTTAAAAAAAATATTTTTTACCAAAATTTTCTAGAAAGAAATATTTCAAAAATGATTTCATTCATTTGTGAATAAGTCCTGAAAATTTCATTAAAATCGGACAATTACTTGATTTTTACAAGAATTTCCAAATCAATGGGTTTTCAACGGGAAAAAAGCACAAAAAAAACAATGTTATTTTAACAGCACCGCGATGACGTAAAAAAAGGAAGATTTTAACCAAAATTTCGAACGTGTTAGAAAATATTAAAAAATTTCAAAAAATAATTAAAAAATACTTTGGTCTTTCATCTTAATAATAAAATAAGCATTTTGACGATAAAACTTTATTTTCGTTAAGTTTGTGGCATTTTTCATTACGCTATGCTGTTTTCCCGCGAAAAAGTGGACGTCGCTAGTTTATCGATACCCAAATATATATGCGTGTGTGTTGTATGGCTATATGAAAATAATACTACATATACACTGCGACTTACATTTTAAGTGACTTCATATTTTATCAATATATAAAAAAAAGATATATTTGCTTAATGATTGTTACGTCTTGGTGATTGTATCATAGTTACGAAGAAAACTGTTTCTTTTTGCGCAGATACATATAAATGGCAGCCATTTTATGAGCTGTCGTAAATTTTGTCGTCTCGGATTAATAGCTAGGTGATGAGTTTGAAGTTTTAATATTTTTTTTTTACTAATGTTCACCCAATTCAAGCCCCGAGATCTCCTCAAGGTAAAGGGTTATATGGTTTATTCTAGACTTGAAGAAGTCAAGATTTAATGAGTGAATGATATTTCAGAGTTCAGTTGGAGACGTTAGAATTATAGTGTGGAAGCAGACTTTAGAAGGAACCGGAAACCCAATCCTAAACAGGAAACAAGGAATAAACCTCTACTCCCCAGTCTTAAGGATAAAAAGAAACACATAATACCTTAAGATAGGTACCTCCACGAGATCGCTAAAAAAAGAGCATAGCATGAAGAAAAAGACGCCAAACTTGACGAAAACAAAATTTTATCGTCTAAATGTTTATGTTGTTATTAAGAGGAAAGATCAAAGTATTTTGAGGGTATTTTTTTACATTTAATTGTTCCTAGCACGTTCGAAATTTTCGTTAAAAATCTTGTTTTTTTTGGGGGGGGTTGAGTCAGGAAAATTGACCATTTTTTTCCATTTTATAAAAAAACTGAAAATCTCTCTTTGAAATTCTTTTAAAAATCAATTATCATTTTTTTCAAAACTTATTTTAAGAAAATCAGAAATTATAATGTTTATTTAAAATATTTTGAAGCAAGCTTAACTTAGCTTCTGCGCTGAAAAGATGTAATTTGAAAATAAAACAAAGCAGGTCATAAACTTTCGCGTCACTTGACAGGTGACATAAACTTTCGCGTCACTTGAACTTTGATCTTTCCTCTTAATAATAATATAAACATTTAGACGATAAAAATTTGTTTTCGTCAAATTTGGCGTCTTTTTCATCATGCTTTTTTTTAGCGATCTCATGGAGGTACCTAGCTTAAGAGCTTGCAAAAAAAGACAATGTAGGAAATTGGGGAAATGATCGGCAGATATCGCCCAAACATAAAGAGGTGCTGCGATGATCCTGGACAACTCTTATACGTATTTGATAGGTTCAAGTTGGGGGGGCATTATCTGAAAGATGTTTGCTCTGTGTCAAAAGAGTAAAAAAAAATATTTGTGTCCAGCTATGAAACATTTTTGTTGTGTAGCAACGAACAGGTGTCAAAACGTAAAAGTTGTCGGCTTCTAAATGAAGCGACACAAAAGAGCGCCAAAAAAACGTTCATGTAAAAAATATTCAACAAGAAAATCGATCGAGGTAAGCAACAGAATATGTAATGTACAATTTGACAGACTTACTTCTCAGCGATGAATCACGTTCTACCATCGATGAGCTTGAATAAAGCCTAAATGACTTGAAGCGTTAATCACCATCACAGGTTGAAAGATCACAAATGCAGAGATAGTGTAATTTTTTTTTTTTGTATGGGATTCTAAATGGTAAATACAGGATGCGATGGATAAATTGTCGTCTAAATGACGCAAAAAAAATAAAAAAAAAAAAAAAAAAAATAAATAAAAAATAAAAATAAAAAATAAATAAATAAAACTAAAAATAAATAAATAAATAAAATAAAATAAATTAACATTGACATTTCATTTTAACAGATAATATTTACCAAAATTACACAAAAAATATCTTGAAATACAAATGAGTAAATTAATTTAATAAAATCGCCATTGGCTTCAACCACGACCCCCAGACGACTTCGGAATCTCCTGCAACTGATTTGGACGGTCTCCTTGTTTAAGTTGGTGAATGCTGCCATAATCCTCTCCTTCAGGTCATCTCTGGTGTAGCAAGGAGTTTTGTTGGTCTCCAGATCAAATGTGACCCACATATAATGATCAAAAGAGTTAGGTGGTCAGATGTGAGAGGTAACGTAGTCGCAGAAATTGTCTAGCAGTCATGACTGTGTTTTGCTTGTTGCCAGACATAGGGTCTTTCAGCAGCCACTCTCCTGATCCAGAGCATCACTACCTCCTCATTGCATTTGATATAGGCCGCCGTGTTTAGTCTAAGTCCCTCTGCAACAAATTCGGGAATTCCTTTCGTATCAGAACGATTAGAGTAAATTTACGAAGCAGCTGTACCTTTGTAATCATCATTAGATTCATCCAACTCTTTCCGAATCCTTTGCACTGTCCTCAGACTGACACCCAAACACTCTGCAATGTTCCTATTGAAGTTTCCGGTGCGAATGCCAAGCAGTATAGCATGCCGTTTATAAATTTCTGGCGCACTGAATTGATACATAGTGCTCTTTTTATCACAGACAGTGCCCAACTGACTCTACTATATTGTGCAACTGACAAAATAAAAAACAAACAACGCGCATGCGCAAAGTTTAAAATAGAAAACGGCGGCAATTTACTCATCATACCCTGTATGTGAGCCCTTGGACAGTTCAAAAAGTTATTTTTATGTCAGTTTTGATATATATGGATTTTTGAAGGCACACGTAGAGTCATAGTTTAAGATGAAGGAAACGATGAAGGCCTTACTTTCCCTGACGATCAGTTTAGGTGAAACCTAGGTGGGTTTGTCTGGCTCACTAGGTGTATCTATCTATCTATCTATCTATCTATCTATATATGTATATATATATATATATATATATATATATATATATATGAAAGAGAAGTTACTACTAGTTACTTTCGAAGTCTTCTTTAACAGTCAATTACCTGGAAATAATGCAGTTATCAAGAAAAAAAGAATACGTACAAATTCAGCAAATGAGAAAATTTTCTAGGAACATAGTAATTTCTATATTACAGCTCTAAAAATAGTGGCTACAAATGCCCAAAACTCAATGATATTAAAAAAAATAAAAGTGTAAACAGTAGAAAAAC